CTTTGCTTGTGGGTGGGGGATGTGTCCCTGTGGGGGTCCACAAGGGCCTTGTAATTGTAAAGCACAAAGCCTTCTGACAGCACAAAGAGTGCTGGATTCCTTTCATTGCTCATTTGAAACTGCACATTAATGCACATTTTTTCATTTAAATACTGAATCTGCCAGCAATAAAATTTATCTTGAACTCGGGAGGAGGTTATGAACTATTGCACATATTTCTTTCTTTATTGTTTGTTTTGAATGAATAGAAAAGGAATTACAAAAATGCATTATTCATTTCAATAATGAATAAAACATGCCCATTTATTTGCCAGGCTACTTGCCTCATTCTTAATTATTACATTTTGGGTTTTTTTGCTTGGGCAGGTGAATAAAATAAATGACTGTCATTGGGATTCATGGACTGCAGCAAAAAATGTTCTGGGCAAAAATGGAAAGTGCAGATGGGCCTTAGTTGGAAAAAGGCAGAAGGGGAAGGCCCAGGATTCGGGGGGGGGGGGGGGGGGAGGAGGAGGAGGAAGAGTTCTCTTCTTCAGTTTTGCCTTAAGCAAGATGGCGAAAGAACCCAATGTAAAATATGGAAAGAGAGACACGCTACCAAGGAACGGTATAGGCAAGTAGCTCAGGATTGTAGAGATGGTGGGAAAAACTAAGACTAAAGCCAAGAGAAAGAGCTTCTTCAGATATATTCAAAAGAAAAGGAGTTGAAAAGGACCACTTTACCAGATGCTCCATGAAGACAGCAAAATTCTGCCAGCTGACCAACTCTTTGGGCTGTATCTCCCAAACAAGAAGAAATGAGCAGGACTGGTGTACTGAAGGAACTTGCTGATGGTCTGGAATGAACCGTTAGGCATTGTCTCTGAGAAATACTGGTGAATGGGGGAATGCTAATAGCTGAAAGAAAGAAGATGCTCTCCCTATCTTCGAAAAGGGAAAAAGGAGACACAAAGCTAGTCTACCTGGGAAGAGTAGCAGATCATAAAGAGAGAGAGAGAGAGAGATGAAAGCATCTTGAAAAAAAATGCAGTAATCATTAGAAGTCAAACCAAGCTTATTTCATTTTTTGACTGTATAACTAACTTCCTTAGTAGGCAGGGGAATGCCGCAGACGTAATTTATCTTGATTTCATTAAAGCATTTGACAAATTATCCCATGACAGTCTGATAATCAAACTACTTAACTGGGCACTGGTCGCAAGAGAGATATAGTAGACAGAAGCTGGTTTGAAGACTGAACTCAAGACTACTCAGCAATGGTTTCTCATTGAACTGGAGTGAGATACTAAGTGGGTTGACCCAAGGTTCATTTCAATTCCTGCAATGAATAGGATTTGGATATGATAAGAGTAAATGGCCCTGCCCAGTTTTATAATTCTATGAAGTCATAACTAACCAAATAAACTGTGTTCACACTACATCCTAAACCAGAAACAGTGCAAGCATGTCACAGTTCAGGGGAAGTTTCCTACAATTTCAAGTTTGCAACATACAGACAGGTTCCTGAGATCCAGTGAGCATATTTTGGAGAACGTGGGGTGGCAGGGAGAGACAGATATCCCAGCCCTCTCGTACGCATATGGCACGAGTTCAGAGAAAGCCAAGATATTTGCCTCCTTGGTGGGGCAGATTGCAGCTTGGTGGCTAAAGGCAGGAGGGAAGACCTCTCCTTTGCTGTCGATGTTCAGCCAGAGACTGAACAGAAACACTCTGTGGGCAATGTTACCCTTCCCCTACATAACCTTCTCCTGGCACCTTGAAACAGATATGCCTGTAGTTGCGTATTAATTATTTTGTACAGATTTTGTTTCAAAGGTCTGTCAAATGGGAAATAAAGACTACAGCTTAGTCTAATTCTGTTTACATCACCCCAGCTTCACCTGAAAGATCCAATTCTAGTCTAGCTCACTTACTAATCGCTTGTTAGGAAAGGCAAAGTAAACCGTAGAGAAAAGAGCGGTTTTACACCTCATCCATGCCTGCAAAGAGGCTGCACTGCTATTCTGTTTTCTTTTTCTGTGGAAAGAAATGAAACAAGCGGTGGGGAAAACAGGAGAATTACTGCTGGGTGATGTCTGGAACCTCCATGCTACTGTGAGCATGGGGCACGCTTATATAAATTCTGTGATCTGTAGCAGTTGAGACAAACTCTGGTAGTTCTAGCAGTGAAGAGAAGACTTTGCCCAAAGCATAATATCTGATTTCTCCCTGATTCTCATTGGATGGGATACAGCGGACATGTGAATGCAGAGTCAAGGATGAGCATGGCAGGACACGAGGAGAAGGCTGGGAAGACACATCAACATTTACCCTACTGTGAGTCAAGACGTGGGGAGGGGGGAACGGAGCAGCAGCAGCAGCAGCAGCAAAGGTCAGCGACTGCTCTGACTGCCCCCCCAATCCTCTCCGTCCACAAAGGCCAACGCAGAAGGCTGAAGGATCCAGGACTGGACAAGAACCACACAGACAGGACAGGGCAGGAGCCTCCCTGGCCGACCCAAGGGGGCCTTGCCTCCCCTTTCCTGGCAGGATGACCAGAGTCCAGAGACTTTTCCCAGCCCAGAGGTTCTCCAGCTTGGGGCGGGGGGTCAGCCTGCAGAGACCCACTCAGCTTCAGGCAGCCCTGAGCCAAGCAAGCAGGGCAGGTATGGGGCCTGGCCAGGCAGCTGGAGTGGTGTGTCAAAGTGGGGGCCAAGACAAGGAGAGCAAGCTGGGAACCCCAACACAGGGCCAGCCACAAAAGGCCCTTTTGGCTTAGGCGAGGGCGATCCTGACCCACAGCCCTTCTAGGAGGAGAGGCAGCACTGGAAGAGGCCTCGGATGGGCAGACCAGCCCTTTCTGGCAGAGACCCATAACTAGCAAGCCCCCTTTCCCCGCCGCCTCCTTCTTTTGCTTCTGCGTTGCTCCACTCATAACGACTCTAAGCGCCTACAGCAGTGACAGAAAACAGTGTCAACCCAGGGATCATGAACATAACCCTAATCATTAAACATCCAGGTACACGTAGTCCTCACTGAGCAACCACAATTGGGACCAACAATGCGATCACTCAGCAGAAAGTCATGTGAGTGCGACTGGGCTTACAACCTTACTCCCCCTTCGGTCGTTAAGCAAAGCAACACGGTCGCTAAGTGAAAAATCACGTGACCATGACTTACAATTTTACTTCCGCTTTCCACCCTGCACAGTATTAACTTTGCTAGTCACAAGAGGGTTGCAAAGTACGCAAATGGTGATCAGGTGACAGAGAGAGAGATGCTGCGATGGTGGTAAACGCAAGGATTGGTCGCAAAGTTATTTTTTTAGCACCATCGTAACTTCGAATAATCACTGCATGAGGCAGTCAGTAAGCGAGGACTACCCATATACAACTTGGTGCAGGGCCGGGTCTATCTCCAGTTTATTTTGCCCTTCTGGTAAGATCCGATAGAGTTAGCGTGCTTGGGTCCCGTCACTTTGGCAATGTTGTCTGGCAAAGTCCAGGTGAAGACACCCTCCCCTTTGAAACAGCCTCCCCCTTCAGATTTGGCTGGCCCCCACCCTGCCTGCCTTTTGGAAAGCCTTAAAGCCCTGACTCCTTCCCCAGCCTTACATGCTTTGTTTTCATTATTTGTTTCCTGTGTAATTTTTATGTGGATTTAATTGCTGTTTGCTGATGATGTATGCTGTCCTGAGACATGTGCCGAGCAAGGCTCATATGAATCAAACCAACAAAGACATAAAAACAAACAATCCAAAACCCTCTAAATGTGCAGCCCCCACAGTCAGTGGCGCATCACCCGTCTGCCGCAGAGGCCTCTGCCCTGCGTGCTCTTTTGGGGCTTCCTACAGACCCAAAGGGGGCAGGCAGGGCGTCCTCTCTCCTCCAGGCCTCTGTGCAACCTGTCTCTGAAAACTACCAATGTCACAAGCCGTCACTCTGTCTAGTGGCCGTGAGTTCCCTCAACAGGCTTCTCAGATGCCATTTCTATATTCACTGCATAGCATAATCTGCTCACGTCCACTGTGGGAAGAGGCGTCTGGTGGATTTGCAAATAACCCTACCAGCCCCCACCCCGGATGGAAAATGCATCAGCAGCCCCCCACACACACACTGTTCGATGGTGAGCACAGCCTCCTCCTGGGAGGCGGGGCTGGGACACAGGCAGTGCCCCCCCGCCTCACTTCCTCTACCCCAGAGTCAGGCTGAAGGGCCAGACTTGTGCCTTTCATCTAGCTGAACTGGAGGAGCCAGGTGAGGCCCAGGCTGGCTTCCTCCCTCCCAGCAGCTCCTGGCACTGAGAAGCACCACCACATGGACTGCCTGCCAGTCCAGAGCCAGACCTCCCACCTGGCTCTGCCTTGTGCTGGGTGGCCAGAAGGAGGAGGGAAGCAGGCAAAGACCCCCTCACCCACACCCCCATTGAAGCCTGTTCAGCTGGATCCAAACGCCTTGCAGAAAAGTTCCCAGAAACATCTTCATTTGCTTTTCAATACTATTTATTTATAATTGCTTACAGTTCCTAGTTGCCATACTAAAAGTGGGATAAGTGCTATTTCAATAAACAAGGAGTATAGAACAAAATAAACCCCATACCTGGATTAATAAAAGATAAAAGAGCAGTGTTCACAAAACACACTCTGCCCAATCAACAGTCCAAATTATGGCTTAATAGTTCAACCCGATTCACCCAATTGCTCCCTACCGCACTCTGCATCAATTTAGCCACGGTGGGTGGACCTGCTCAAGAATGCAGTCGGGGACTGAAGGGACCGATAGTGTAATAGCTCCTCCACTATGGATAGTTGAGCCCAAAGAAAGAACCCAACATTTTCAGCAGGCAGGACTTCAGCCCCACTCCCCAAAAATGGCCCACACTCCCTAACAACTGAGGCTCAAGAGCCGCAGCCACGGGATGGGAAACGCTCAGAGCCTCACATAAAATGAGAAGTCACATGCAAATAACACTGTGTGGATTGAAACTCCCTTGCCCTTCTGGCAAGAGGAATCTTGTCCTACCTTGACTCCACGGATGCGGAACTCAGCCAGAGCCCGGCTCATCTTGGAAGCCGCCGTGGGGTGGTCCTTGCCGTGAGCAATGACTTTCACGAGGAGCGAGTCGTAATGGGGGGAGATGACGGCTCCCTGGAAGGCAGAGGCGCTGTCCAGGCGGATACCCATCCCCTCGCCACTCCGGAACACCTGGAGGAGAGGGGCAAGAGGTCAGGGGTCTGCCCAGGAAGCAAATCATTTTGGGTTTCCTGCACCAGGACTGCAATGAAAAAGGTGGTTTTGTTCTGATGGAAAGTCCCAGAGACACCCAGCTGAAAATTCTGGATCCCCTCTCCCCACCCCCTGAACGTGCTCTGTAAAGATGCAGCAGAGCGTTTGGGTTAACCCTAACCCTAACCCTAACCCTGTGTGGAAAACAGAGTTCTTTGGCTTAAACTTTGATTCGGTTGCATGTGCGTGCATTTTTCCTTTTGTTAATGTTTTTTCTTTCTTTTGACCTTATGTTTCTGTTTTCCTTTCTTTTTCTGTATTAAAACCATTTTTAAAAAACAGCTATTCAGAGGAGGGTCTGCACATATGAGGCAGATGAGGCCAAGTGTCAAAGGAGAAACCACACCTTAACCAGGAGGCAAGAACTGGAGCCACACAGATACTTCCCGCTTATGCTGCAAACGGAACCAAGCACCAGGGAACAGCCGGATTTACACCTGATGAGAAGCAGCCTGGTGGATCCAGGGTTTCCATGATGCCAGAACATGAAACCCTTCCCCTGGGGATCAGGACCCTCTGCCTCATAACCAAACAGCACGCCCCCTGATGCCCAGCCAACCAGAGCACAAACGTTGGTCAGGCAGGCTGGTATTGGCCTTGCAGGTCTGGTAACATCTGGGCACAAGGCTGCCAGCTCAGCCTCTAAAGGGGCCAGGGGCTTTTGTCATCCTCCAGCTCAAACACACACACACACACACACACACACACCTGCCTCTGAAGTGTCTGCCTGCAAGATCAGAAGTCAGCCAGCTTTTTCCTGGAAGAAGCCCTGGAGAAGAAGGATGATCAGCACTGGCTGAGGAATGGAAAACACCTCTGGTCGTGTGTGCATGTATACACACCACCAATGACCCTTGATACACATGGCCTGCACAGATGTGGTTGATGTCGGGGTGGAGGGACCCCTATTACTCCCAACATCTTAGGGTATTTGTGTCGGCATCAACCTCTGGAGCTGCAGAGAGCCTTGTCAGGCCCCAGGAACTGCTTTGCAGGGAGAGCCTCCTTTTGCCAGTTGTTCCTCTATACTTCATTGATCTGTATCCATACATTGCTTCTTACATGTCCCACGTACTAGGTGTGTTTTGAAGGGCACATAGAAAAGTTGGCATCCATGAGACCCACTCAGGACAGGCCATGGGGTAGAAATAGTTGCTCTGGGCAATTCCAACTTGGACAACTTGAGAACAGCCATGTCAAAGGAGGCAAGAGAAGAAGGCCCTCCCCCGCCCCCATGACCTGGATGGGATGCAGTGGAAAGGAACCGGGACGTGGTCGGCTGAGGCTGGCCAACCCTCCGTGGAAGATACAACCATGGCCTCCTGCCTTGGCTCTTCTGGCAGGCAACACTAGGCTCGGAAGAGGCAGGGATGTGCGGTAGCGCAGAAAATGGACCATGAAAACTGCAATCCTGAAAAAGCAGCAGGTCTCCACCCATGGGGCTTCCCCCACAGGCTATCCAAGAGGGCCCCCGGCGTTTGGTCCTCAGGCCAGAGCCTTGCCCAGTGGTCCCCGGGTGGTGCTCAGCAGGTGCTGAGCCAAGGTGCAGCTTGTCTGCCTCCCTGGCAGATGCTGTTTTTCCTCCTTCACTGTTCAGACTACTCATGACAGCTGCTCTGAGTCTTCAGTGCTTTAACGGCTACAATAATATTTTGATTTAGATGTTGTAAACCAGGCAGACAATTAGGTTTTAATCAATTAGGCAGGAGTTACAATTTAAATTAAATGAAAAGTATCCCAAACCAATTTGGGAACGCAGACTAGGGGCTTCTCCTTTATTCTAAAGAAGTTTTCCAGCCCTGAATGGCGACTATAATTAGGTTACATCAAAAATTAGGAGCAACAATCATCATTATTTTAAAAAGCAAAGCAAGAAATCAGAGGAGAAGTCTTTAGAAGCTGCACAGAGGGGAGAACATTGGCACCCTTCCCAGCCCCTCTTTCTCTGCATCTGCTACAGGAATTCTATTGCCTCCTCACCAAAGGAGGACCCTGATTTCAAAGTGGCATAAAATCAAAGGGTTGGATGGCACTTTAGAGGCCATGTAGTCCAACCCTCTGCTCAGTGCAGGATTTGCTACTGCATCTGACAGATGACCATCAGCTCCTGTTTGAAGACCTCCAGCAAAGGAGAATTCAGCACGTCAAGGGGCAGTACAGAATCAGTCTATTCCCTCTTCTGCGTGTGCTGTCGTTTGTTTATTACATTTATATAGATGCCCATCTCCTATAGTGACTCCAGGCAGCATACACAATAAAATGATCCAAATAGGTAAAAACCAATTAAAAACTACAACCCAAATACGTTATAAAGATAAAAAACAAAATGCCGGGGGAAAAAACCCCTATGCAGAGCACATTCCAGTCAACCATCATGTAACCATCTAGCAGGCTCTACTCAATCATGGGATCCCCAGGCCAGTTGACAAAACCATGTTTTGAGCATCTTCCAGAAGGCCAACAGGGTTTGAGCCAGCCTCACCTTGGGGGGGAAGGATTTTCACAGGGCGGGGGCCACAGAAGAAAAGGCTCTCTTCCTGGTTCCCACCCAACGAAACTCCCTAACTGACGGGACCTATAACATGCCTCTCCTGCCAAACCTGGTGGGACAGGTAGATTTAACCAGGGAGAGGCAGTTCCTCAGATAGCTTGACTTCCCTCAGTCATCTCTTCGGTAGGCTAAACACGCTCAACCCTTCACCATCTTGGGAGCCTTCCTCTGAACTCCCTCCATTTCTCACTGTCCTTTTTGAGCTATGGTGCCCAGAACTGGGCAGAGGATTCCATCTGGGGTCTGACCAGGGCAAAGAAGAGGGGAACAAGTATTTCCCAGGACCTGGTCTCTATGCTCCTTTTAATGCACCCTAAGACAGCGTTGGCCTTTTTTGAAGCTGCATCACATTGCTGGCTCACATTTAACTTGCAGTCAACAAGGATACCCAGATCCCTTTCACAAGCACTACCGTCAAACCAGGTTCCTCCAACCTAGATTTGTACTTTTCATTTTTCTACCTGTGGTTGGAAGGAAAAATGCCTGCCCATGAAATAAGGGTTAGTAAAGTTGAGCCGAAATTACCCTGTGGTGGAAAAAGAGTAACGTCTCCTGAGCTGTGCCCCTGAAATGAGCTGTGGTTGATGGGGTAAGGGTGGCTATGACACCTGCGCTCGAGGAAGCTAGAAGGGCTCTCCGAGGAAAGTGCTCCCGGTACAGCCATCCTTGCTAAAGGGTGCGCTTTGGGGCTCGAAGGTCACAGCACGCTCCCAACCGCATGAGATTCAGTATCACATCGTCCCTGCATGTGGAGGCTCAGCTAAGCGGCCTGCCTAACATTTCTCCTCAGCATCTTTTGTGGGTTAACTCTATTTATGATCTATTCTTTCACTCTCTTCTCTCCTTCTCCTCCAATGGGGAGCAAGACCACATTCAGGCTTCCAGGATTCGTAACCATGTCTGAACTGTAACATTTCGCACTAACCAGAAAGGGCTGATGTGAATATCTCTGTGTGTGTGTGTGTGTGTGTGAGACGAACAGAATCCTTCCCTTGCTTCCTGCCAGCAAGCTCAGTCCCGAGAACCAGGGAGCAGCTCTTCCTAACCGAGAGGAAGAGTCAACGAGACCAAGATTGTGCTTGGCTCCCTAGTAGTCCAGCATTGTCGCCTTTTCACCGCAAGCTGGTTACCTGCCTTGGAACTAAGCTGAGTCCCACAAATTAGAAGGGCATATTTAAAGCAGGCAGGCAGTGGAACATCTGCCCCAATTTTACCCACAGAGCCAGAGAAATGTAATTCAGCAAGACGCTCTATGCTGCATTCAGACAAAATGCTTAACTAGTTTAGCCAGCCTAGCGCCTACGTTCTCACACAAGCTCACCTTGGTTAGTATTAATCTTCACTCATGTTGTGTGGCTTAGTGTGTTGTGTGAACACAGCCACTTTGTTAGCTTATAATTCCACATATTCTGCAAACTCAGAAAATGAGACAATTTGGTAATCAAGTTGTTGATTGATATATTGCGCCAACAAAGCCTTAGTCCCTGCCTCGCCACAGCCAAAATCTTTAACTAGCTCAGATTTCCTGTTTTTAAGAGACACAGAGAGCATCAGCATCATGCTGGGCGCAGAGGACAGGCAGGAAGGTCATCTGGAGCACAAGTCCCGCAGGCTGCAGCAATGAGGGGAAGGAAGATCAGTTACAGCCTCCCCTCCAAATTAGGGATGACAACTCCCTAAAGCACAACAGCGCATCTCTTACCCTCCTGCTTCTTTCCTTGCCAACGAAAGAAAATCCGTTTTGAAATTGTGGGGGCATATTTATACCAAGGATTTATATGTGTGTCTTTCTGACTAGTCAGCAAGTTGCAGAGCAGAACCTGTATGTTTTCTCAGCAGAAAGAATCTGGGTTCTGATGTGCGACTTCTCACTCAACGTGATTAGCATCAAAGAAAGAGTCCTCTGAGAAGTTGCGTCTAACAGCAGAGGTCCACCTCAGATCATGCACATCAGCTGGCATTCAATAGTTGGTACCTACAGTGTTCAGCAAACTGGACAGAGTCTCTTGGTAAACTTAAACTAGGAAACAGGTCCTCTGCAAGAAAAAATCAGGAATCTGGACCTCCCTAGGCTCCCAAGGATGCAGGTGGGAGTATAAGACTGCCTTGATGGCTATAGGCCTGCCATGTCCTATCCTTCCCACTTTCCTGAGCACACTGCTCCCCAGTGCCACCAACACAGCCACCTGGAAAGCCTGCTTCCTGAATCATCAGAAGAGTTCAGGTTTGCTGCTCTGCTACGCCTTTTATTAGAATTCCATGCCAGAAGACATGGGCTCACAATTCAGGAACAGAGGGCCTTCGTGTTTCTTCCCCAACCTGCAGAGCCATGCTGAGAACAAGACCTAATTCCTTGGCCTGCACCCTG